AAAGAGCTGAAAAACTCAGGCGTCCTGGAAAGCTGGACCGGGACGATTAAAGGAATGCAGAGGGGGTGACCTTGGTCCCCCTTTGCTGCTGCTGCCAAGCTGGCAGCCTGAGACAGAGCACAGGAGCTCTGATAGAACTCTTGAGGCAAAGGCTTTCAACTGAAAGCTGCCTGAGATGTTCTGACTCGGGGTGAATCCCCTGAGGAAGGGACCTTCATGGGGGTCTTACACCCCATGATATGACTGTGGTGACGTGAGTTTTGTCCCTGCTACGCAGTCCATGGAAGAGAAGACCCTCGCTTGAAGACGACGGGCCGAGGGGCTTGGATACCCCTCGTGTGTACTGGCAGAGATCCAGCTACAGCTGCTAAATGAGAAGAAGAGAACCTGCTGCCTTAGAGACATTGCTGCTCTGAAGGTGGAAAGGATCTTCCTTCTTCCCTCCTAGATTTTTATTTGGAGGGGAGAAGAGATTTGATCCATTGTAAATACTTATGTCATGGCAGAGATAGCTAAGATTGTATATAATATATTGTAGTATTTATTTGTATAGTCATTGTAATATATATTCCCTTTCCCCCCATTTTGAGTTTCATGTGGTGTCTGGAAAACCCATCTCACATTGGGTTGAGATGTGGGAGGGGGACTTGGACTAGGGAATTAGATTTTGGAGCTCTCAAACCATGACAACTGTGTACACCCACCAGGGTTTTTCTTTCCTCTGTGCATCTGTACCCCCTCTTTTGTCAAATTCCACCTGGAAGATCTTCAAAAACCCACAAAACCTGAACCTTGAGTCATTGTTTCTGCAGTAGAAGACTGTCTTTTAGAAAAGCTTTGACCTCCTCTATACACATACCCATATTTAATTTCTGTTCTGTGTCTAAATTCTTGTTTAGAGAAGTGTAATCCTACTGGTGTTTGACTTCACTGTTCACAACAGTGCAAGATACACCCAGTTGAATTTGGTTTGTATGTCAGATGATGACGAATATGTTAACACTGTGAAGGGAGGAGTGAGTGTGTTTACTTTTTTCTTTTCTGTGTTAGTCTTTTGCTAACCACTCTGTATGCTAGTCAGCATATTTTAAAGGAGCAGGATGAACATTCCTTAGTTCTTTGTTTCAGGCTAAAATGTTGTAGTTTATTCATGTGGTTACCCAGAGTGTAAAAATGAGCTGAAGAATGGAAAGTAGTTGATAGGAATCAGCAACAGTTTAGAACTGTTGTAGCTTTCATTTGTTTAATTTTCTTTTTTTATAAAAAGAGAATGGAATAATGGTGTAGAGAAAAAAAATGATTGCTTTGTTCCTTGAGGTCCCTAAGTGCTTTGTAATTTAGGTGAATACTTTAAAAAAATGCTTTAAAGAAACAGTGTCGTGACTTTTAAAAAATTTTTATTATTTCCTGGTATAAGCAGATTTTCATTTTCTTTCTCATTGAGTAGTTTGACAGTTGATGATACTTTTACTAGCAAGCTATTTTTCAAATACTTGAATTATTTAGTGTGTTTTATAGAAAACTCAAAGTTAGTGCCAGCAGATAAAACTTTGATGGGTAAAGAGGAATTTGTAGGCATCTGTCTGTCTGTCCAGTTCTCTTCTTTGGGTAGGGTGCTCTTGGGAAGTCCTTTCTCAAATACATGGGATTGCAGTTTTTCTTACTCCTCAGTACAAGTAACTAACGTAGGACACACATTTTGGCTTAGAATATATTGGTCTTTCTACTTCTAGTTCTTTTTAATAAAGAGGACGCTCATCCAAAGCCTTTCTCTGTTTCAAGCAGTTACTTTTTCATTTGTGCAGTTGGGAATTATTTGTTAACATCCAATGTTCCCTGTTCAGGTGCTAAGACGGAGCACTCCAGACTCAGCACTCAACAGAAATTGTTGCTGTTGTTGACACTCGTTTGCATACAAGCACAAAAACCTTGAGCACTGCCTTAGAAGTGGCTCCTGTGCAGGAGCAGCAAGTGGAACCTTGTTACAGTAGGGGCTGCTTTTCAGAGGCAATTTCCTTGCCTAATGGAAAGGAAGAAGATACCTCTTCACTGAGCTTTTTTCCTCACTACTTTTATGAAAGTACATGCAAGCACGCACCAAAAGTGTGGCAGTGTTTTATTTTAAAACAGGAATTATATTTTTCAGAAAGACAAGAGGAAGGAGGGGAGACTTTTGAGGAAAACTTCATTTTTCATATTTTTTTCCCCTCCTTTGGATTCTAAAGTGGTCTTTGCTGTATTTTTATAGGTAGAAAATGGAAACAGTATTATCATTGTTCTTAAGAACCCTCTTCCACATATTAAAAGAGCTGCTGCTGCTGCAAACCTGCATTCACATGTATTCTGCCAAACAGACAAATGTAATGTAACAAAAGCCAGTATAGCCTTTGCTCTCTGCTGATTGAAGCTAGTAAGTCTTTTGTGGGTTCAGGTTTGGCCTGCTGCTGCTGCCTTGATACTACTAGACTGGTCACTTCTGAGTATACTTGTACTGTTTGCTGCCTGTTTAAATCTTTACAGGCATTTTAGCTTACTTTTCAGCTAAGTGACTTACAACGAAGGTATAACCAATCTGAATCTGTATTGCCTTTTGAGAATTTTGAATTTCATTCAGGTTTTTTTTACTACAAATTAACTGTCTGAGAATACCAGCTAGACACTTGGAACTTGAATCTTTATCCCACTACACTGCTCCAGCCTGGTGCCAGCCTTTTCATCTCTTATCCCCCTGCCCCAGATGTCGAGACCCTGCTATTCTGGTAGAGGGAACAATTTGATGAAATGAGTGCTGGTTCTGCAGTGTTACTGTCTCTGTATTCTAATGCTGTCATCTCCCTTAATAAATCTCAAGTTCTGTGGCTGTGCTTTTTTAGAGCAACTTTCCCCTCTGCCTCTCCTTGCCTCTCACCCCAAAGCAGAGGCAGTAACATCCCTTACTGAGGAGCTCATGCCATCACAGGGGCAGCGAAGACCATGTCAGCTGTCAAATCTTATGACAAGTATGGAATTCTTGTAGGAAAGGAATTTAAAAGAGTCATGGGGCAATCAATCTGTTGCTCGTTTGTGCCAACAGCAACTTCTGGAATATGGGAATAAACTGATAAAAAGCTTTTGAACAGTGGAAATATTTCTGACACTGTGCCAGTTTTCAGGGAATTTAGTAACAGTGCTGTCTCATGAACTGCATATACTCATTTGTGCCTGTAGTGCCACAGCTTGAGAGCCTGGAGCACGTCTAGGGACTTGACAAGAAATGTCCATTTTTGCTGTGAACGGTTGTGTCCAAAGTGTGCTGGACTGACCAGTACTTCCATCTAGTGAGCTCTACTCTTTTGTCTTTTTCTCCTTTAGAAAAAAACCAGAAGATACTATCTCCTGCAATCTTGCAATAAAGCTGTTTGTTCTTACACTTATGTCTGTGGGGTTTTTTTGTTGTGTGTTACACATCCCCAAATAAACCTGTTGACATAAAATGATGTAAACAGACTCCTGGTAGGCTTTTGTGTTCCCTAACCAAAATCTCTTGTCAGAAGAGCACCCTGTGGTCAAGCTCTGGGGTTGGGGGAGGATCACTCGATGATGACATTCTGTGGGCACTGGGGTAAGGGAAGCACAGTGGGCAAGTACATGTTGTGCAGAAACATCTTTCCTCCTGAAGGCAAGACCTGTGTGTACAGTCCTGAGGAAAGCCTCAGCCTCCCCAGACTCACCTTCTGAAGAGGATGACAGTAGCTTCTCTGCCAACTGCAGACACATCACAGCTACAGCTTGCTGCTGTTTTCATTCTTAAATTGCTTAGTATGGTCATTTTACAGTTACCAAAAATTATGATCTTCAGATAACACAGAATATTCAGGGTTTTATCTCTGATCGCAGCTAAGGGCCAAGGTTTCCAGCACCATGGGAGAGGGTGTTCATAATGAGGCTGACAGTTTACAAAAGGAGTTCTGGAAGGGCCAAAAAAAGGTGGGAGTGGTGGGGAGCTGGGAAGTCATCTAAACTTTTTGTCATAGCAAGAGTTGGTTTGTGTTTTGCCTTTGAGGCTGAGTGGGGTGATAAGAGCAGACAAGGAAAGAAAGGAGCATTCAGCCTTATCTGAAGTTTTTCTGTGTTGTACTAATGAACAACTATCCCTGGATACCCTTCTTTCTTTGCTCAGCTGTTTCTGTTCTCATCCCTTCCTCTGCTCTTTTTTTTCAGTGTATGTTTCCCCCTCCCTTCTTTTATGTAATCCTCTTGTAGCCTTGCTGTTTCTTTTGTCTTCTCTTCTCCCTAGTATGGAAAGGATATTGCCTCTGCTACACTGTTTTTGTTTTCTTGTGTCCTTCCCCATTGTCCTTAGCTCTTGTTTAGTTAGTTGCAAGTTCTCCAAGGTCCACTATTTGTTTACCTAACACTGAGCACGGTGAAGTCTTGGTCTTTGGTCTTTAAAAGCTTCTGTAGTATAAATGGTAGTAGTTTTGTCTATCTTGCATCTGTATTCATCAATGAGAGTATGCTGCTGCAATTTCTTTGCCGGTCAAAGCCATGGTTTGCTTCAGCATACCTATTGTTTTTCAGTCTCTCTAAATAGTTGCCGTCCCAGAAGTGAGAAGGAAATATATAGGGGAAAGAAAGTCTCCAGTTGTTTTCTTAAGGCTTGATTTCAATTAAAAAGCCCAAACCAAGGCAACACAGCTGTTCCACCAGGCCTTTACTTAAATAGCTGAGACTATTAGGCAGTGTATCTTCCTTTTGTACTATGGTGGTTGTGGCTTAGACACCGTTTCACTGCCTTGCTGCCTACTGATTTAATTAGTTGTGTAGTAATTGGCAAGTTCTTGAAACTTTTTTGCTACTTAGTGACTTGCAGACGAAGACTGGAGCTAGCACTGCCAGCAGTTACAAATGCTGGAAAAAACCCCATTCATTTTGAATTTAATATAATTTTGTTTCAGATTTTCTTCCTTCACTCTGATTTTTGATAACAAATTTGTCATCACTGTCTCTTTCTCTTCCAGTTTTGCCAATTTGAGAATTCACCCTCATGGATTAGTGTTGGTGGATCTGCAGAGCTACAACGACCATATTAAAGGAAGAGAGGAAGTTGATCAGGTATGAGTACTGCTTGCCTTACTAGACTTACCTAGCTGCATGGGTAGACCCTTCTTCAAGTCTATCAAAATATATCTTGATAAAAGGTTTTGAATTAAAGTCAGTTCAAACCTGAATGCTTACAGATGAGGAACAGTAGCACCTGTTGAAGTTGCATAAACATGTCAGTGCATGCACACACACACACACACACTCTTTTTTGCATGTACTGGGCCTTGTGTTCTTTGATGTAAAAGTTCTAAAGATGTAACAGCTTTGGTTAGGGCTTGGTTCTCTTTAGGTACCCAGGGCAGTGAGGGAGAAGTGATGCTCAACCTGCAACCTGATGTATTGGTGTATGACGTTTTTTCCTTCTCTATTCTGAGAGATGTGGAGCCTCTATATTCAATCTTTTTCCCCGTGGAGAAAAAGAACTTCATCTTCCCTTATAAGAAGGCTCCAGACATTGGATATGGCAAGGGAATAGGCCTCTGCTTTAGCAGGAATGGAACCTCAAACTTCTCATGTCCCCCTTCTGGCTCTGTTGTCCTAGGGAAAGCTAAATGCAGTGATGACAGCTGCTATAATATGCACATTCTTGCTAGTAACCAGGCTAAGGGGCCAGCGAGTTACTCATGGGCTTCTGGTGTTACATTTCAAAGCCTTTCAGTGCAGGTGCTACTTTTTATTGCCTTCCAGGTAGCCTAATTTAACAGATATTTTGCATTAAGTGATCACCTACAAATTCCACCTCTTATTTGCTGTTTTTTCCAGCTTCTAAACAAAGTAGAAGAAAGAATGAAAGAACTGTTTCATGGTAATATAAAAAGGGTGAAACGGTAAGTTTGTACCTCTGCTTCTGTATGTGGCTTGTCTGCATAGTTACTAAAGATAATAAGCATATTATGCTTTGCTGTACTGCAGTGAATAGCCTGGAGGATGAATTTTTGCATAGTTTTTTTCTTCCCAATATTTTCAAATTGTTTTATTGCAGAATTGAAGGTATTGTGGGGTTTGTCATTTTGTTAAGCCTTCATCTTTGGTATTGTTACTTACAGGACAGGGATTTTTTTTTTATTTTATTTTTTTTTAATTTTTATTTTTTTTAGTTTGATGCAGTGGTTGCATGAAATAATGTGAGAAAAGGTAACCGGGATGCAAGAGCAGACTGCTCTGGAAGGGCTGGGAGCCAAGGGTGTCAGGGGAATAGGCCAAGGCATAAACTATACCCTACAGGCCACGTCCCACAGCTCATGGAGAAGGTGAGCAGGACTGGTGATGGTGACCAGGATCAGACCCAGCTCTGTGTCTGTCAGACTGGGATGTAGTACTGAGGCAGTTCTGACAGCAAACTGGGTGTCAAGGATTGGTGAAAGACCTGTGCAAGTGAGGACATAGACCACGGGCAAGGGTTAGAGCTAAAATGAAGCTCAGGCCTACCCTGGAGGACACCCTACCCTGACAAGATTTCCTACAGCTCTTTCTCTTACAAATCTGCATCTGCTATGCCTCATGGTGCTCATTGTGGGCTTGTGTGGCAAAAACTTTGGTGGAACCTGTGTGCTTAGGGACTTGCCAAGAAGATAGAAATGTTTTGTAGCAAATATTTGTAATATAACTCATAACTGAACAATGGAGGCTTTACAAGCCCTCTGTCAGTTTGGATTGCTTAAATTCAAGGCTAAATATTAAACTTTAAGGATTCAAATCGTGGCTCGTGACCTGCTGCTGAAATAACATTCATGCTGGATGTGGCTCACATTGTCCTTGTGGCTGTCTGGCAGAACTGACACCTTGAAGCCAGGGAGCACTTACTGCAGGCATGCACTTGGTGGAAGGTGCAGTGGGTGCTTGAAGGAACAGAGAAATAAGTTAAGAAAACTGAAAAGCAAGTGTAAAACCAAGGAGCAAACTGCAAAATGGGAGAGCAGTTAAGCAGTCTGTAACAGTTAAATACTACAACAGAAAGTAATCTGAGACCACAAGTAAAGTGGTAGTGATTTGAAAAGTGATGTTATACCTTGAATATTGTTGTTTCTCTTTAACAGTTGTGTGTAAAACAGAGAAGTGGTTATCTTGCTTTCCTTCAACCTGGTAAAGCCTCATAAGGTGCACAGTGTACTAACACAGATGATCTCGTGTGTGTCTTTATGGGGGAGAAGCTCTCTGAGGATGTTTTGATACTGAAATATGATATTGGGAGTTCGTGGAATCTCTGTGATAGGAATTTCTTAAAAATGGGTCAGGACAACATCTGCCTGAAGTGATCTAGATCAGTTGGTTACCTTTAGTACAGGAAGATGAACCTCCTAGAACAGTGTATCTGGCATGGATCTTGTCACACACCCCTCAACATCTTTTTTCTTTTCTTTTAATTTGTTCTGCATCCTTTCGGTATTAGCTTCATGCATGCAGCTCCACTAGAAATAATGTAGCTGGAAAAGTTTTTCCTGCCTTTTTGTTGTTTTTGGGTAGTGAGTGGATGATCTTGCTCTCACCTGTGCTGCCATCTTGTGGCTCACTGAGGGTAGGAAGGATTTCTGAAACGTTTGTTGAGAATCACTAGTGAATTTAGAAGCAGCTTGTCTGTGTCTGGTCTTCTGCTACACCCTCCTTTGGAAGAAAACCTTTAACTCTTTGAAGTGTGTGTAGAAAATCTGATGAACCCTGTGCCTACACATTTTGCCTAAATGTAATCATTTTGATCGTTCAGAGTGATTTCAAATATAGTTTGTGTTTACAGGTGAAATACTGATTTGAACCAAGAATGAAAAAACCCCACAACACAAACAACAAAACAAAACAAAATCTATGCAGATGATTGAGCCGCTTTTAAAAAGTAATGCAGACTGTCAGCTGATATCAAGGACTGTGCTTATACAATACAGAGTGACCTAGCTCAGTTTGAAACACTATAATAATTCACTTTTTGTGTTTCTCTGTGTATTAAAATGTCTCTCAGTACAACTTGAGAAGGGTGAGATCCACTAATCTCAAAGAAATGACGTTCTTAGCTGAGCTAAAGGTGGGAAGAGGTTTTGTCATCTTTTTTTATCTGCATTCTACTTTTGTATTGTATTTTATTCCTAGTTGAGCTGATTCTTCTAAAGAGGCTGATATGTTATGTAAATTCCCTCTATTCTAATAGAGAGAGATTCACATGCACATTGTAGAAGTCGTACATAAAGAAGAATCATTTATGTCATCTGTGCCTTAGCAAGTTATGTATATTTATTATGTATATTTATGGCTGATAGGCTTCTTCTGTCTGTTGAGTGTTAAATGTGGCAAGTTTTCTTAGATCTCTCTTGTAAATATTATTTATTTATTATGGTGAATCCACAGAATGTTTAAAGTGGATTTCTAAAAAGATGAACATGCCAAATGTTTTGTAATCTTTTTTCTTTCTATTTCTTTCTAGGTTGCCAGCCATTTTGAGAGGAGGTGTCATTGATAGATACTGGCCCACAGCTGATGGGCGCCTGGTGGAGTATGACATAGATGAAGTTGTTTATGATGAAGATTCACCTTTTCAGAATATTAAAATTCTGCATTCAAAACAGTTTGGGAATATTCTTATCCTCAGTGGGGATGTTAGTAAGTATCATCTCATGTGAGGATCTTTTGCGTGAAAATGTTGGAATGCCATACCTGCTATGGCAATTTTAATAGATGACTAAGGGTCATTGTTCTGATGCTGGAAATTACATATGCATGTACGCATATATCTGTTCCTGTATATTAAGTATGTTAATGAGGAAGGCTGACCAGTGTAAAATTTAGAGTAAAAAAATAACATTTCTTTTCCCAAAGTTGCTATCTTTGCTGTGGAAAGTGGCACAGCAGAATAGAACACTGTTCTCTAGCAGAGCTTGCTCTACTCCTTTCTTCTGTGTGAGCTTTTTCCTGTTTGTTGCCAGTCCAGCCTCTTGAGAGTTTCTCTTTGACAGTAAAACAAGCTACTTTGTTGGTCTTCAAAACACAATGGAATTCTAAAGAAATATGAAGAAATAGGAGCTGGAGTATGTGTGTGTATAATCCTGCTGTTGCTTTGATTCTCTGAGGGCATTACCTGGTTGGTGAGATCTAGGACAGCTGTATCTCAAACCATTTAGCTGCTTTGTTGTGAACATCTTTTGACTCTTCTTTAAAATGCCCAGCTGAACTTTAAAGTTAAACAACAGTGACCCAACCTTTAAGATGTTTTGTATGTGGTACTTTGTGCCTGCTGATCTTTGTATTTTTGGAAGTGAACTTAGAAGAAGGTGGGCTACTGTTCTTTTAAGCTGGATAAGACTGTTTGCTAGAAAATCTAGGCAGCAAGGAGTATACTTTGTAAAATCTCTCAGTTCTTATGTTGAAAAGTAGTGACTGTGGTAAATGAAGGATGTTACTGCCTAGGGATAGAATACCTAATTTCACTCTAATAGCAGAGTAATTAAGAAATTTAACTATAGCTTTTTGAAATAACTCTAATAATTCAATTAGCTTTCTGCAACTGTTGGGGACTTCTGTGCAGATGGCAGCTGAAAAGCATTGTTACAGAATACATTAGTAAGGTATTTTCTTATACAGATAGAATTGTGTTAGAAATCACAAAATTAGTTATTTCATACTTCTAGCCAGAAATTTTCATCAGACTTTATTTTAATATGGAGATGAGGAATGTTGTCACAATATGCCTCAGAGAAAGGAAAGTGTACCATTGCTTGTTTACCTTCCATGGGATTTTAAAATACTGCTTTGTCTCATTTGGTTACCCTACACTTAGAAGCAAAGTGGTGATTGCCAGGCAGAGTTATAGGATATGCCATGATGTGCTGCTGCACAAAGCTTTGCCCTTGTGGCTCAGGTCTGTTGTTACAGACAACTGTCTGCTTTGAAGCTAATGCTGAACAAGCCAGTGTTAAGGGCCCTTCAGCAGTTGGGTGGTAATGATCGTGTTTATGTTTCTGTGCCCGGATCCCCTGGTGTGCATCTAGGTTGCTCTCTTCAGCTGGGGTCCACAGTGGGTTTTCAGAAATGTCCTGATCTGTCTCTTGCAGGACTAGTCGTAGGTAAAAAGCCATTGAAGTATCAAGTGTGGACATCAAATCCTAAGTATTGACAGTTTTGCTCTACCAGTTTTCTTCTCCTGGCACACAGTACTTCCTAATGCCAAGGTAGCCATCGCTGGGTTCACATTGAGAATTAGAGAAACCCTGTTGGGGATTCTGAGGAGGATCCCATTAGTTGGACTGTCTCTGAGAACTACGTTGTTTCTGTAGATGCTCTTGCTTTGGTCTGTATTATATTACCTTTGGATTAATACCAGTTAATGAGAAGAACTAAAGATGTAATATTTCTCTCCAACTCTTTCTCTTCCTTTCATTCAGATTTGGCAGAAAGTGATCTGGCATATACTAAAGCCATAATGGGCAGTGGAAAGGAAGACTACACTGGGAAAGAAGTGCTAATCCTAGGAGGTGGTGATGGAGGTATACTATATGAGATAGTCAAACTGAAGCCAAAGATGGTTACTATGGTAGAGATATCCTTTTACAAATGGGCAATCATTCATTTCCACATTTTTCAGACTGCATTTCTGCTGGTACCATAGCACAGTTAACAGTCAGGTTCTGATTTGCGTTAGGAAATAGGGTCTAAAATAAAATTTCGTTTTGTCAGCTTACATAGACCTATTACTGGGGGTGACTACATATCTGTGCATCTTTGTGTAGCACCTGCTTTCAAGTTCTATAGCTCTTTGAGTAGCGGTTTACGTAAAACTGGAAAGGAACACTTCTGTCATCAGACTGATGCTTTCTCTGATAACAGAAGACAGGTCTGTCAAGTCTATGGTTTGGGCTCAGTTCTGCCTTCCTGAATTCTTCAGTTTTCTAAAGAAAGCTATAAAAAATAGTGCCTAGAGGCAAAAAAGTTCAATCAGTAGCAATGTCAGGACTTAATGAATTGTATTGGTGGCAGAATGACCAACCCTGTTTTAAAAATACCAATACAAATAAAACTTTCAACATTCTTAGTTTGTAATGCAAACTACTGTTAGCTGTATGAAATACTGATCACCCTGGGTTTTGGGATCACTACTGTTAGCTGTATGAAATACTGATCACCCTGGGTTTTGGGATCCCTTTTCTAAAACTGAAAATAATTGTTTTAATAACAATTTTAAATAATTATAGGTTAAAGTCTTAACCTAGTTTAACTTTATGGGTGTTTTACAGTCTTACAGTTCATATTTCAGGCTTTCACAGTAATGATAACCTAAGGTATCAAAAATACTGATTGAAACCAAGAATAAGCCATTCCTAAACCTCTAACTGAATCTGGAGGGCAATCCGTAAGGTTGGCTATTGCAATATGTATGCCAATAGACACATCTTATTATTCCTTTGTGAATGGCACCTTCTTGAGAATTCGTTTCTGAAGAAATAGAAAGTGTTGCCTCTGTTATTTCTTGAATATACCATGCCTTAACAAGCTTCAAACATTGACCAAATGGTGATTGACGGGTGTAAAAAGTACATGCGTAAAACATGCGGAGATGTCTTAGACAATCTGAAAGGAGAGTGCTACCAGGTAATGCTTTGCTTTTCTTTCAGTAGGAGTAATATTTCAAATGCACTTATACGTAGCCTGGAAGACTGCTGTGGCAAAGTTTTGGGTACAAATTTTCTGACTTTTCTTAAATTTAGGAAGCATTTTTTCCTTTTTTATGACACTTTCAAATTTTAATAGCTGGGATTTGTGTTGGAAATATATATTGGCATCAAAATATTTTAACTCTCCATTTTCAGACTTCTGAAATTAATCACATAAATAACTTCTAAGGAATGTGAAACAGCAGAATGTTTGTTCCCATAGCTTACGAGTAAAGAGGAAATATCCGTACAAATGTAGTTTTAAACATAATTCCTTATATAATGAAAAAGATAGAAGAAATGTGTATTTAAGTTAGTTGACCTATACTCTTGAAAATATCTGAATTTATAATACACAATTAACAATTATTTTTAATTTGCATGCAAAATCTCTCTCTGCTATTACATTAAAAATAATGATAATATTTGCCAACAAATGTCATGCGTTCCTGCAGTTAAGGTCTTTATGTGCTGGATCTAACAGAACTTACAAACTAGCCCTGGTGTAATCTGATGTTTTCTTTCTGTTTTCATTACTGTTCCTTAAATGCTCTCACAGATACTAACTTGCAGGAGTGAGCTAAAAAAAAAAGGCACAAAAAATTAACAGAGAAGTCACATGCTAGTCTTCACGAGTCAGTGGCCCTTCATACAAATACCTTATTTTACCTGTTTGTTGGTACTAACAACTAACTGCTATTACCATTTGGTAGGAGGAACAGTGGTCACCCAGCAGTCAGTGACAGAGCTAGGATGTTCAGTCCTGGAGTGCCTGTGTTGTCAGTAGTATAATTCTTATAGCACCTTCTTCCTTCTATATGATGTAAAAAGTTGAAAATAGAGCATAAAATTAAACATGTATTTAATTTTGTGCTTTTCACCTCTAAATTTCTGTGAATCCACATTTGTTCCTTTTATCTGGTCACTTTTAGGGTATTTTGAGGACTACCTAAAATATTTCATTCTTACAGGTTCTAATTGAAGACTGTATTCCCGTACTGAAGAGGTATGCCAAAGAAGGGAGAATGTTTGATTATGTAATTAATGATCTGACAGCTGTTCCAATCTCCACATCTCCAGAAGAAGGTAAATCTTATAATTTATTTTCTTAAACTTCTGGGAACTTTCAACATTTTGTCCCTCTGCTTTATAGTAGTTTGCAGCAAAAGTACTTTGATTTTTTTCCTTTTTAATAGGAAATCTGAGAGGGAAAGAATGATAGTAACACATCTGTTCTTTTTTGAGGTTTTTTTGATAGTTAGAAAAGACTAGCAAGTGCCTAGGACTCTTTTAAATTGTGCTCTTATTCCAGAATAAAATGAAATCATGTAGTTCATCAGAAAATATTCATTAGAAAGTATTAGGAGTTCCTACTCCAGTAAATTTTCTTCACTTTATGATTTCTTGGACATTTCTGGAAAATTACTGTGAAGAAAAGTAGCAGTACTTCCACCATCACTGCCATTGCATATGGTTTGTGTTTGGGTTTTTTTACCAGGCTTTTATTTTTTTTAATGTTTTATTTTATTTTACTTTTTTAAGGTATAGAGCAGCTCCTTTTCAAACAGTGGCTTTTTTGCAAGTCTTGAATATGTAGTAAATGTGTTAACAAGCCAGTAATGTGTTCTTCTGGTTTTCAATCATTCTCTATATGCAGATTCCACATGGGAATTTCTGCGGTTGATTCTTGACCTCTCAATGAAAGTTCTGAAACAAGATGGAAAATACTTCACACAGGTATCATATCTGGATGTAACAAAGTATTGCTTTGTATCTATTGCAGTTGTATATGTGCTGCATTTTTCAGTTAAAAAAAGAGGAAAAAACTAAAAATCTACTACAAGCTGTTTTTCTTCTCCTTTTAATGACTTTAATTTAGGCTTTGCTAACTGACTTATCTTTTTTCATTATTTCAGCTGAATCTGTAGCACTTTTGTCTTGAGTTTAAAAGCATAATTTTAAGAATCAGCAAGACATATTACAGAATATTGTAACTGTAAGCAGATTTTGGAAAAACAGAGCAGATATACTTTAGAAACAGATATATGGTTTTTAAGCTAATGTCTCCAATTGTAGAGTGTAAGACATAAAAATTCATCATCCATTAAGGTGTAAAAATTTGAGGTAGGTGCAATGGGACAAGAAAATTAGTCATTTGGGAGTAAATACTCTTTTTACTTGTTCTCCACTCCTAACACAACTCATTGGTTTGGCCTCTGCAAAACACATTTTGAACATTTGAATAAGTTTGTTTGAATATTTGGCATTTTGTGAAGTATTTTATATAGTCATAATTTAGGTTTTGTCCTTGTGTATGAAATTTTAAGTGCAGCTCTATTTAAAAGGAAATAATTCACAATTTGTATACTTACCACAGTGTAACAGTATTACCTCATAGATAATGTCTAGATAATACAATTGTGGATTAGCTTTCAACTGAAGATACTTTATGTAACCCTGAACTTGGAATGCCACAAAGGAGTGTGCAATTGTACAAGAATGTGACAGGAGCCAGCAGATGGTTGAGTGAAGTCTAAGTCTCTGAAGCTTTATTTCTTTAGTCATGCTCATACCTTAACTAGTTTTCTGATGTGTGGAGCATCTGAGTACTGCATTTTGGAAAAATCTTGTTAAGGTCTGAAATAGCTTAGCTGAAATTATATATTTGAGCTCTATTCCTGTCACCATAGAGTTTCTGAGGTGTGTAAAGGAACTGGTTTACTGTAAAACTGTGCAGGTTTATAAAGAAATGCAAAACTTGTAGGATAAAGCTTTTGTCAGTTCGGATGTGCTGCTTTATTTTAAAATGCTCTGGTTGTAAAGGCAAGAGAAATTATCTTGTGGCTGAAATATAAGATGAAATATCACACTGTAAATCTTAATGGCTTTTCTTCCTCTAAATAGTGGAAATATTTATGACAGACTTTAATATCGAAAGGACACTGCATCTTTTGGACTGAGCAAGCTGTTATGTTGCAGTCATTGTAGTTGTAGCATACACAGTGAGACTAGCTGGCTGTATTAGAATGTATATAAATGTATATCTGTGGACAGGTTTTGTCAGACTTTGAAGGACTCTGAGAAGAAGCTTGTGCTGAAAGCTGGAGCGATGGCTGTGCTGCAGCAGAAACACAGGGGGGTTGTTTTGTGCCAGCTGAAACCAATGGAGGTTGAGACCGGTGCAGCCCTGCTGCCTGTCCTGTCCTGGTGGAAGGAGATAAGTCAGCTCTCCAGCATCTCTGCTTGCACAGAAAGGATGGACAGCAGTACTGAACCAGCCCTGGTGGGTTTAAGCTGTTGTGAAACTGCAGTGTTATGTTTCATGGTCCCAAACAACAAAGCATCCGTGGCAGGCTGGGAAAGAAACAATATTAAAGTGGAAGTGGTGTGAATTTGGACTTGTGGGTAACTGGTAGCCAGTGAAAAGACTGGGGTATAGAAACAGTGTACTCTGGAAACTTAGTCTTCCTGAGGGTGTTGAAAAAGGAGAATTAATACTGGGGCAGACAGCTATCAGAGCTTTTGATACATCTACTGATACACTATGCGGCTCATTTGATGGTCCTTGTAGCCTCTTCCCAGTTGGGCCTGAGAAAACAAAACAATCCACTGTAAAAATTGAATAAGGCTGTGTAGTGGGCTTGCATGGCCAGGTTTTGGTAGTGGGTGTGTGTGTGAGGGGGGCTACAGGGGTGGCTTCTGTGAGAAGCTGCTTAAAGCTTCTCCCATGTCCTACAGAGCCAGTGCCAGCTGGCTCGAGGACACAGACCCACTGCTGGCCAAGACCAAGCCAATCAGTGGCAGTGGTAGCACCCCTGGGATAACAGATTTCTGAAGGGGAAAAAGTTGCTGCACATCAGCAGTTGTAGCCAGAGAGAGAAGGGAGAATATGTGAGAGAAACAGCCCTGCAGACAGTGCAGAAGAAGGAGGAGGAGGTGCTCCAGGTGCTGGTGCAGAGATTCCCCTACAGGCCATGATGAAGACCATGGTGAGGCAGGCTGTCTCATGGAGCTCCACAGTGGAGCAGAGATCCACTTGCAGCCCCTGGAGGACCCCATGGTGGATGCCTGAGGGAGGCTGTGACACCGTGGGAAGCCCAGGCTGGAGCAGGTTTCCTGGCAGGACCTGTGACCCTGCAGGGTGCCCATGCTGGAACAGCCTGTTCTAAAGGACTGCACCCTGTGGAAGGACTCACACTGGAGCAGTTTGTAAAAACTGCAGCCTGTAGGAAGGACTCATGTTGGAGAAGTTTGTGGAGGAGTGCCTCCTGTGGGAGGGACACCACGCTGGAGTGTGTGAGGAGGAAGGAGTGGCAGAAACATGGGATGAACTGACCATAATCCCCATTCCCCATCCCCAACAGTGCAGCAGGGAGGAGAAGGTAGTGAATTTGTGAGTAAATTAAAGCCCAGGAAGAAGAGAGGGGGTAGGGGAAGGTATTTTTAAGATTGGGTTTTATTTCTTGTTATCCCACTCTGATTTGGTGAGGAAATTAATTGAATTTATTACCAAAATTGAATCTGTTTTGCCTGTGATGGTAACTGGTGAGTGATCTCTCCCTGTCCTTATCTTGACTCACTAGACTTGCGCCTTCCTTATTTTCTCTTCCTTGTCCAGCTGAGGAGAGGAGTGACAAAGCGGCTTGGGTGGAGACCTGGTGTCCAGGCAGGGTCAACCTACCACACCCACAGAAGACTCAGTAGTCTGGTCATAGGATGAACAGTCTATTGGGGTGCTTTAAATAAAATCAGCTGTCTATAACTTTAAATTTAAATTAGGTTTTGAATTAAACTAATTGAAGCTGGCTACTTAAAGGATTGCATTAGACTGTGGAGAGAAGTTCAAACATGACCACTACCAACTTTGGCAGCTTAGTCACACACTGGGAACTCATAAATGATTTTGAATGCTCGACTGTGTTTGCTGTTAAATGCCAGGGGTTTTTAGCTCTGCGTATTAACATTGGAAATGTAAGTTACTTTCGTTCTAACTAGCTATTTCCAGGATGCTTACCTTATGTAGCAGGCCTTGCTGAAGGAATCACATGCCTTTTAAGGCAGTTGTGTTTTTAAAGTACAGGACTCTGTGTGCCCCCCAGGCCTGTCTTGAAGTGTGTTTTGGTCCTCTAAAACAAAAAATGTTAAATATCGCTGTTAAATGTCCACTTATTTGTTAGAACCTCATCTTTGCTACAATGAGGAAATGTCTCATAGAAAAGATGCAGCAAAAGGGTCATTGTCGTGTTGGTTGCTGGCCAGTAGCTATAGTTGCTTCTTCTGCCTTGGCATTATGTTGTATTAACATTGGAAATTTCCTTTGTAGTTTGTAACCTGTCCTCTGGTAGTTGCACCTTGAGCAGAACTGTGTGCATCTGGTTAGGATGTAATTTATTTCAGTGCTCAAGAAATGCTTTACCCAAAAGTGGAATTGTGTTCACAGAATGCCAACCTTTCACATACTGTATTGCTGCCTGACTGTCTAAATGCCACTGCTGGGAAAAATAAATGGAAATGCTCATCACCTCTTCATTGAGCTCTGCACAAATTTTAGAAAATGTTCTGGTCCACACATAAACTGTTAGCTGCCATAATCTAGAGCTGTCTAATAGATATCTGTCTAGATAGCTGTCTAGATAGATATAATTTATCTGAGATCATAAAAAAGAATTATTTTTTTTTTTGGCATGCTACTCTAACACACCTGTTTATTCCCTTGGGATACCTTCCTTGGTGATGCTCAAAACGATCTCCAAATGCTAGTGCAGAATATCCTTTCACCAGTAGGTGGAGGCAGGTAACCAGTATTGCCTGGCAGCATATTAACACTTACAGAGAAATCGTGGTTTTTCAGACTATTTATTCATATTCCTAGGGGATAAAAGAACATATGTGGCCAATTTTAGGATGCAGGAGGGACTTTTTCCTTCTTTCAGCTCTGAAAAGATATCAAAGGACAGTTAATGGATGTCATTCTGCTGCTTTTAAGTCTGTGATTAAGTATATTTGGGAAAAAATGCCTCCATATTTGCTCTATGCCTCCACAAATAGTAATCACACTTGGAAAAAACCTTACTTGTATGAAGAGCAGCCTTGCTTTGCATGTCCTTGTTTTTTTAGCTGCACCACCCATATTGAGTGTTGCAACCCATAGGACCTGGACAGAGAGAGAGATGAGCTTTATGTCTTTTAGCCTGCAGAACTTGTAGCGCTGTCTGTAGGTTTAAGACCTAAAACTTGTTTGTGAGAACTTATTGTTAAACATAATCCCCTTACTCTGAGGTTCAAGGGTCATATGGGGTGCTCTATTTCCTTTCTTACTTCTTTTGAAGTGTTTAATGATATAGTGTGGGTGTGTGTCTGTGAGGTGTTTAGTGTTGCCTTCTTCAAAGGGAACCAGTTACAGGTGCAGGTTCCCAACCATCACAGTGACGTGGGAGTTGGTGAGGGTGTGAGAACTTGGTTTATCCTGAGGTCCAGTTTCATCTCATACACCTTCCTAGTGACTTCTTTCTGAACACATAAAGTGTTTTTACAGTACTGGACCTTCTAAAATCCAATGTGATTTTTTGATTGCCCAAGTGATTTCTTTCAAGTGAGAATGTATACTTGTAGATACCAGCGTGATATGTTTGTGGCTTTTTTTTTCCCCTCAACCATCACTGTCTTGTACCTTCCCCGTACGATGTGAAGATTGTCCCAACAGCTGTGAAACCATGCTCTGTAAGATGCACAGACTGATTGTAAGGTTGTCTCTGGGTGTCAGGGGATTATGTGCAGCTAAGAAAATGCCTTTTTCTGTGCTGATTTTTTGTTCTGTTGATCTAATCCTTTGAGGTTGAGAAGGCTATAATTTTCAACCTGTTTATGAAGTGGAACCTTTAAAAATACCTCTGAACAGGAATTTGCTCCTTCCTGATCTGGGTCATGCAGCCCAGGCAGGATAGAAACTCAGACCACTCATGGGTTTGTGTTGCAGTAAACAGCGCTAACCCCTGGTTCAAGGGATCATGTGTCTCCCACGCGCACATGTGGCCTTTCACCAAGCCGTCTCTTCCTGGCCACTCTTTAATACAGTGTGGCCCTGCCCTCTGAGTGTCCAGACCACCATCATGTTGCTCCATAGTTAGACTCCTTTTTTTGACTGCTGCGTGGGTTTTCTAATTAGCACTTCCAGTGAGGGAGGAAGGTTCTTCTTGACTGCGACGTGAAAGAAGGCTGGGAGAATGGATGTATGTCCCTGTGTGAGCCTCTGTGATTTCTTGGCAGTTTGAGAGACTTAAAGGCACAGACATTTCATTTCCTTATGTTACTGAGAGTACAGTTTTAATAATTGATTTTTTTGACCAGTGGAGGTACCTTCAGTCAGGTTTGCCTCCCGTATCTCCGTGAAAGCCATACCTGTCAACCAAAACTCAAGCCTAGCTTTGATGCTGGGTGTTTCATGCTCTGTGTGTCTCACTGCTTTTTAGTCACTCTGAAGTGAGGAAGGATAAAACCCAACCTTGGCCATGTTCAGTTTTGGCATGTCGTTACAAAACAGAACCCCGTGTTAAATTAAAAACAAAAATGAAACTTCTCTGGTATATGGTCACAGACAAAGGTGTCCAGTAGCAATGATGTGTAGTGTAAGACATGGAAGAAATGGGAGAGTAAGTAAAATGGACCCTTTCCCCTGCTTTGGCAAGTATGGCAAAGGGACCCTTCCACCTGCTTTCAAGTTCCTGGTTTACTTTCTAAGGGTTGGAGGAAGCATAGTGGCCTAAGTTCAACTTGTAACCAGTTGATGGGCACATCACCTTTATGCGTGGCAAAAGTTAACTGGAACTTAATAGGGTTAATTTAAACAAATTCTTTTTTTTTTGCTACTTATTTTAAGGAATGTTTTTTATTGTCTTTCCAGAACTAACAAAGCATAAATTTGTTATGCATTGTGCTGTAAGAAACCTCAGAACTAAACCCATGGAACTATAGAATGTATGCCTTAGGAGAGCCCAGAAAAAGTTGGTGTTGGGGGACAGGCATGAACTGTTGAAGTGTGTGCAAGCACTGAGCAAACTCAGGCTGTGAAACTGTTCAGGAGTCATCAGTCTTAAGCAGGTTTTATAAATAGAGATCAGTTAATCTCAAAGTTTAAAACTACCTCAAGTACTTTCATGTCAGAGAGATGCTTCTTAAGGGGTAAAAAAAATTTCAGCATTCCCCCAGTTCTTACCTGTCAAATTGTTTGACATGGAACACAGATTAAGAGGGGGGCATGCAGAGGAGTTTGGTAGGGTTTTTGTATATATTGAAAATGGACTGAACAGTGTGGGAGAAAAAGTGATTTTGCTTATTTCTTTGGAAAAGTGTAATTGGTGAGTCATCAGCTTTAAACCTTATTAAGCAATGCTCAGTTTTAGTTATAGTTTGAGTATATGGTGTCTGTCCCAAATCTTCGTTTGTGAAGCCTAGCCATGATGGTGATGTTGTCTGTTCAGAACAAATGATGTACTGCTGTACCACATAACTCTTCATTAGGTGGGGGGAGTTAAAATGAAACACTGATCCCTGTGTTACATTCTGGGCTTGGTTCCCTGTGTCATTTTAGTGATACAAGAAGACTTTTTTTGGAATTCTTAACTCTGTGTTGAGTAAAGCCAGGTAATTGTAAAAAATTGTAACTGTGCAGAACTATAAAATCCCCTGGTGTGTCTCTAGAAGAAAGAGGTTAATAGAACAGCCAGGTGGGTTGTCTGAGCCTTTAGGCAAGATCTTGATTTGGACGCTGGGGAGTTGTGAGTTTGAAAAGTAAAAATTGCTTATTGGCATGTTCATTGTTCTTGTAATTTGTTTTCCATGGTGTCTGCAGTGATTCGTCTCCTTCTAGAGAAGGGAGAAATAATGAAATATTGAAGTAACAGGCTGGGAAACTGTGGATACTTTTCTATCATTGTGTATCCTATTCAATTTACTACATAATGTTGGTATGCTCCAGAAATTACCTAGCAGTGTTTTCTATTTATAACTCAAATTACACGCAGGTTGTTTTTTTAGTTTTCTTTTGCGTTCAGTCTGATGGTGAAACAAAATTATATGTTTGGTAAAGGGCGGCTGAACCAAAAAAACTGCCACAATCCCCTGGATAATAACAAGTTACTAAACAAGTAATACAGCAGTCTGTTCATTGTTGTGCTCAATTAGTGTTAGTCTCTTACTTTTTTACAAACCTCATTTGTTTTCTAGTGCCCAAACGCAAATACGAAAAATTCAATATAAAGTGTCATCTTCCTTTACCAAATAAAAAAGTACATGTTTCTTTGTGCAATATGATCAAAATTATAATCAAACATGTTTTATGCAAGTTATTTTGAAAAAGGGCTTTCAAAATTATAATTTTCAAAAGCTCATAGAATAAAATAGAATCATAGGATATCACTAGATGAAAGGGACCCACAGTAATCATTGAGGTCTAGCTCCTGGCCCTGCACAGGACAGCCCCAAGAATCACACCATGTGCCTGAGAGTGTTGTGGAGATGCTGTGTTAAGATTTTTTAAGTTGAGGTTTTCTTTTCAACTTGTGAAAAATTGTGCACAGTGCAAAAAATACATTGAGCAGGATGTGAAAAATTCAGAGGAAGATTTGTAGGATGAAATCTCTTTTCACTTCCTCTGGAAATAGAAATATTTTAAATACATTGTGAAAAAATCCTACTAATAAAAAGTAGGAAAAATAGTATAAAACCCAAAGACAGAATGTGCATTTTACAGTTTGATTCTAGTTATCATCTAATGTTGTTACAAAGGAAAAAGCAATGTAGATGGAGCTATTTAGACATACTGATTTCAAATAAGATCTCTGCTTTTTTGGCCTCTGCCTGTTAACTGTTGTTTTAAAGAGTGCAGATAGTATATGTTGGTCAAATGCATTTTAGTTCCTCGCTTCCTTCCTTACACACATCTGTGTGTGTGTAATTATTTTAAGGCTGTTTTTAAAAATCTGAGAGCACCAAAAAGCAGGAAACAGAAAATGAGTCTTTCTTAAAGACTGTTCTCTTGGTTTTAAAAGTTTCATAGTGTGCTAGCAGAGAATTACATGTGTGAAACATAAGTAGTGCAGACATTTTGGAAGCATTGAATAAGTCTTTGGTTCCTGGGGTCTCATAGAACTTGACCTTTGTTTCAAGTTAGAGGTCTTAAAACATTGAATAAGCTGTGACTGTGAGGGAGCTAGAGTTTTCTACTAGATTTAGCTCTTTTTTTAATTGAACCATCTGCATTCTTTTACACTCAGGTTCAGGTTTCACACGTTATTGAAGAGCAGGAAGGGACAAGATTATTGTGTATTCATTAGCATGAAGGTTTCCTTTTTGTTCTCCTTTTTATCTTCTGTGGTAAATGTTCCTCCACTAGAAGTGGAAAACAAAAGCTGAGTAGTTTGTAGACCATGCAGTGGTGACCACATTCAACTTTGCTTGGTTTTAAATTAGCGTCCAAATAACTTGCATTGGCCGCACTCTTAAGATAATTGTATTTAAGATCATAAAGTATTTACTAGTCTACTCAGTTATATAGGTAAGAGATGCAAGAAACTTGATAAAGATTTTGTATTTATTCAACTTACACAATTAACTTTTATTGCTTTGGGTGGTTGGTGTTTGTTCAGTCTGGTGTTCTGTGAGCTCACTGTTACCACTAAATCTTCAAAGCCATTATAGATATGGAGAATTCACTCCTCTAACTAGAGTTTTCTCTATATGGGCATCCCACATATATGCTGCAGTAACTTCTGCTTGATGATAATACTTAACTTGGGACAAGGTAGTGCTTGCAATTAGGAGTTGTTTTGGGTGTGGGTTTTTCATTTGTTTGGGGTTTTTTGTTTTCAAATTCCTCACACTTTGTAATCCTTGAGATGTGTTCGTGCTTGGTATTTCACAGTTCCACTGTAAGAAGAAAATTGTCAAAGCATTGATTTTTATTTTGTTCAGAAAAGGATACTACTAATATGCGTAGACGAATTAAGTCATGAATCTAAGTGGAAAAAAAGTATCATAAGAATCACTTCCTTTTCAGAAGCACAATATGCAGAAACTTAAGACAATGTACCCCGAAGCCAGGCGAAAACTTCTGTATAATCTGATCTATTTTGTTATATTGCTGTGTTTAAAATGAATAGGCTATGTTTTTTTTAATAGTGCATTTAAACATTGTAAGATCTAGGCAATGTTAAATAATTGAGAAAATCTGGATGTTGTAATACTGTTTACTAATATACTTAAGCAATCATAAAGAAAATGATTACTGAGTAGACGTTATAGGTAAACACCACATGGTGGTCTGTTTTAACTGAAAGCCCTAATATAAGGGTTGCTTCTGCTAATGAGGATATAGATAATCTCTCCATACTTTCTCTTTCTTGAAAAGATACAAATTATTGTTTGCTGTAGGCAGAATGAAGACAAGCTGTTCAGTATTTGCTTTGTAAATATTAAATATTAAGAACAGCATGTATCTGGTTCTGGAGTATGTGGGAGCCTTGCAGTAATGTCAAAATGTATATATTCAGCTGAAACTTTGCTTTGATTTTGACTGGGACTTTTCTTTTTTTTTCTTCAGGGAAACTGTATAAATCTGACTGATGCCTTGACTCTGTATGAAGAACAGCTTAGCAGGCTTTATTGTCCTGTGGAGTTCTCAAAAGAAACAGTGTGCGTTCCCTCCTACATGGAATTGTATCCTTAAAGAGCGAAAGAAACCAGAGACTGTGTATTAATAAATCAAGCAAGGCTAGATTGCTTGGAGGTAATGAACTCAAGCACAAGAAGGAGTTCTAGTTTAAAATCACTATTAATGTTTTTTTCATAGTAAATGAACTACTGCAGTTTTATTTTGAGGGTAATTGCAGGAATTGTTTTCCAAAGGTGCCATAACTTCACAGCTGAGGAAATGATCAGCACCTTTCAAGATCAGACTGTGTTTTACTTAATGTTTTTGAGTGTTTCCAAGTTTATGTGATGTAGGATAAACTGTATGATAAAGGTAATGCTGCCCGGGAGTTCTGACAAGGCTATATCTTCTTCCTTTCTTTTTTTTTTTACAAAAATAAGAGTCTTCATACAGATGACCATGATCCAGATCTTTAAATATTGGCTGATAGATCTATTCTTGAACATACAGCTCTAAGACATGATTTTTAAGGCTGGAAAGGGGGGAGGATAGTGATTCCTAACAATCATTACTAATTAGTGTTACTGAAAAAAATATTCCAAGTGGCAGAGTTATACATATTTCTTGGCAACATGTCATTCCTAAAAATAGTCCTTCAGAATTTCTTCGGTTTGTGAGTGGCAGGCAAGCTAAAAGTTTAAACTTCAAGCCATTAGCTCAAGTGGTACATTTTGATCTGCTGGCTGCATTTGACTTGAGTGTTTACTGCTATCGTGTGATCGCCCCGGAAATGTTTCTGAAGGGTAATGCCTGCTGTGGTTGTCTCTCTTGACAGGAGGCATCCTTCCAGGATTCTGCATATTCATAATACATTAAGCATGTGATACTGTCCCAGCCTTTCTTCTGTGTGTTCATTTTGCCTCCCTTCTCTGGCTCTCGGTACTGTTTAATGCTGGAGCCTGCTGCTCTGGACTCCTTACTGACTATAACAAGCTCCTCCTGTTTCTCATTATTGTCAGCTTTCCTGTGAAACTCAAATTTGACCTTACATTTTCAAGACAAAAGAGCATGAAGGAGGATATAAAGATACCTGCCCTTACAGCTTCAGAAAAACAGGTTATTTTTGTCTTTACAACTGCCAGGCCTTAAAGCAACATGCCTTGAAGTAGGCATCCTTGAACTGCTGGTCAAAAGGAGAATCCAGGGAGAGTTCAATTTTGAGTGTTTTACCTACTCTATGATCTACCAGAGGTTTTCAGAATTGAAATATTAAGTAAAAAGAACTATTTCCATTTTAACTGTGCACTACAAACTTTGACTTTTTTTTTTCCCTTAACTGCTTATTTCCTCCAGATGGGTATTCTACACTATTTGGAAGAAGCAAACTGACATCTGAACATCAAGATTGAGATTATCCTAAATGTACATGCTGCATGGAGCGTATAGGCCTACCACATGCTGCATATTGGCATCCTGAACCTTTAAATTATATGCTGTAGATGATCCTGAAACTTAGTCATGCTATTGATTGTGAATTCTTTAAATGTTTTTTTATTATTATTTTAATTTAAAAGCAAATGGAAAATGTATATTTTGACGAGCTAGGGTGTTATTTTTGAAAGTCAACTTAAAGATGAATAAGCAGCAAAACTATATAGCTGCTGACTGCACTGAACCTTTAGAATGTGATCCTTTTTATTTTTTTGTAGATCTTCACAAACTGATTGATTAAAAAAGACATCTTTAGCATTTCATCCCTGAAGGGTGGTCCATGGAGTTTGTTTTTGTTTTTCCAACAGATTTTTCATCTGTGGTGCTTTTCAAGGTTGGAGAGGGTTTTTGTTTGGTTTTGGGTTTTGTTTAGTTTTTTTTTAATGAACAATGCAGTGCTTCCATATAGAGAAGGGCATAATTAAAAAGAAAAAATCTTCTAAGAGAATACCCCAAATCCTTTATTGCAAAGGGAAGAAAGCCAGTTTTAAAAATTTCGTTTATTTACTCTAGTTTCATTCATCATAATCTCTGCTGCAGGAGAAGAATCTTTGACCTTTCACCTCCTGGAGTTCTTTGGCTGCTACCATATTGATTATTTGGATTCTGATATGGATTTAACAGTGAGTTATAGAGGCACTTTGAACTGTTTAAGCATGAGGATCAAAGCTGGTTTTCCATCCCACCACAAGGCAAGAAACTGAGTGCAGTGAGGTTCTTATGGGCATACTCTCCCCAGCCTTATGGGAAGCATTAGATTTCTGAAGCAAAGGTTGCTTTAGAGGGTGAAGAAATGTGGATGTGACCCATCTTCATGTGCCCCTGTACTGAATGTTTTGAGGCTTCAGTAGGGGAAGTCTTAGTCGTATTGCCACAGATTGACCATGTTGTGCGAGGCTCTTGCTGAATTAGATTCACTTCCAGTATAAAAATCAGTGGAAGCTAAGATTGCATTGTAGTTCCTCTGAAAGACAAAGCATTTTTCTTAAGCAGTTTCTCATGTTGTCTAAAGTTATATTTTTGTAAGAATTTGCTATGTATTGCCTAAAACATTTCTTTCAGTGTTTAAAAATCCCACTTGAAAATAGATAGGAAGGATATAACCATTCTGTGCATTTCTGTATTTTTCCGGGATAGAATAAAAACTGCACTATTTCCCTAAACACTCTAATCCTGAAAAATAATGATTTTTTCCCATTCAATACCTAGTATCAGCATTTTCTTAGTTTTATTGGAGAGAGTTGATTTGCCCTCCCAAGATACTGTTAATGAATACAAAAAAAAAAAAGCTATCATTAATCTGTATTCTTAAACCATACATAAAGAAAAATTTTATTGCATCCCACATATATAAACTGGTCATGGAATCCAAGTAGCCTCTGTAGAATTCCAGATTGATACCAGAAAACTTGCAAAAATTTGCTCTTTGTTTGGTCTATAATTGGTGTGTAATTGTTAAAATATTTTCAGTTGGGAGTGCCCATAGAAACATTCTTCAGTCTTGCTGTTTTAAATTATTGCAGTTAATTCTCCAGTATACATGGGGCATAGTTCTTCCATGGCCTACAGCTTATGCATCCCTAAATACTCCCAAAGAGCAGAACTTCCCTCTAAAAAGGAGAAAAGTGCATTTCCCTGAGGGTTTTAGCTCTTTTGTATGCATCCCAGAAAATACCTTTATAGTATTACCTGTAACCTAGTAGTGACCCTTCATTTATGATACAGGACTGCAATCAGTATATTGTATAGCTGCAAATGAGTGCAGATGTCCTGTAAACAGATAGGTGTATCCATAAGTTTGCAAGCATGAATATCTCCATTGATTCTTAGTGTGATTACTCATGTAGGTGAAATTAAGCACACAGGCACTCACTGGGACAGAGCCTACAGAGTCTGTGTTCCCAGGTGAGCCTGACAGATGTACAAATCAGTCACAACAAGTGCAGGTGGCTTGTTTTTTAGCAAGGAAACTTGTGAACTGGAAGATGACTCGATCTGCTTGCTGTACCAAGGCTTGTACTTCCCTTTAGCATCACTGCTCAGGGCTGCCTGAGCACAGAGAGCTCTTGGGTGTGCAGGGATGTTCTCTAATGATTCCCAGATTGACCAGGGGACCTGAATTGCATATTAATAGGTGAGAGGCAGCAGTGCTTGCAAACTTTTTCTTTTCAACAGATTAAATTAAAAAAAAAAAAAAGAGAGAGTTGGAGGAATTATTTTTATTCTTTAAACTTTTTTTAAATGTAGTTTTTTTGAAGTGATAGATGCAGTATAAAGCAATTCAGCAAACACTGAACATTATATTTTTTTAAGTTGCTGAATTGATTTTGAGCAAATATATACACACTGTCGGTCCTTATTTATTTGTTGCTGTAGTGTAGATTTTTTTAAAAGAAAAACAAGTCTGTATTAGAATTTTCAAATGCAAACTGCTATAGCTGATGGGTTTTCCATGTTTAAGGCCAGTTGGGAAATAGCTAGGATTGCTGCACTATGTATGCAAACAGTTCCCAAGATACGGTTAACATTAGAGGTTTCTTAATTATTCTTTGCACTAAATGCTGCTTCCACCTAGAAGTTACTTGATTGATAGTAGTTTGTGCAAGGAGAAGACTGCTGGCGTTGTATCTACTGCATCAGTGCAGTGCACATGTTAAAATAAAGGTACGCTGTTATTATTTGTGTGTTTGAATTGTTAAATCCACTGTGGATTCAGTGTTAAAGTGATGGAATTGATGGGTATGATGCTTAACATTGTACCTCTTTTTTCCTTTTCACATGACAAACATGAAGGTACTTCATGGTCTTTTTACTGAGTATCTTTTCTGTCTCAGATTAATACAGTCAGTGATTTTTCATATAATAAATGCTCAGATAAGATACTCTCTAGTATGGAGTCGCACACTGATACTTGCAGTGGAGAGAATCACTTGAGGCTTCAGTGATATTTGCCTAGGAAGCATTAATTTTCTCTGGAGTGCTGTAGATAGGAATTTGGAGGTTTGTAAGTGTAAGTTTTAGTTTTTCTGCTAAAGTGGCAAGTTGGCTTTGGGTGGCGGTGTGACTCGTGTGACAGAGAAAAGACAGGCTTGGGAGAAGTCAGTAAGACATGGAGAGTGATGGAAGCTTTGACACAGAAGTTTGAGGAAGAGCGAGAAGGGCATGAACAGGATGGGCACATGGAAGAAGTTATTAATCTTTCTGAATCACACCCCAGAGTAATGTCAGAGAATGAAAGAACGTGACTTCTAAAAAATGTAGATTTACATTAGTTCCAGCTAACTGCAAAGGAGAAGTATTTACATCTGCATTAAGTACAGTGATAACAGAAGGCTTGATAGTTGGGAACAAGAAGGGGGAAGGCTTAACTTTTTGAGGGGAAAAAAAGTCTCACAGACTGAGGCCAGGATAAAGAGTAATTTTGGAACGCCTACATGCACGACACGGAACATAGGTACCTCTTGCTATTTTATTTTCGCTGTTTGAGAATTTGAGGTGTTGACAGTTTGCTGGAGGGAACAAGGCAAAGGGACAAGTGAGAGGAAGAGAACTCAATTTCTTATTTTAATTTAGGAACAGGAGACTGCAGATGATGTTGCCTATGGGTAATAGGAGGAAACTGACACCTTGCCCACAGAGAAAAGAGTAGTTGGAGTCATTAGAAATGCTGAAGGAGCAAGTGAGAGAAGTAGCAAAGTAAGCAAGTGCAAGAGTGATTAATAACATTGAACTTAGAAGTACCTTTTTAAAATGTGGATTGCTTTAGGAAGCAAGGAGTGAGAAGTGTCAAATGGGAACTGGAAGGATGTGAAGAAGTTTATACAGTGGTCATACATTTCAATGAACTTCAGAGACAGAAATGGAGAAGGTAGAAAGGAGTGTGAAATGCACTTCATAATTGGAAGTGATGAGAACTGCTGTGCAGTGTCAAGGGAAGAAGGGATGCAGGCCTAAGAGCCATTAAGATGGAAAGGAACTGGGGGAATGAGCCAGGAGGAGGAACCAGAAACGGGACAGCACAACAGATGTGGTGTGGGGATTTGGGGAACACATCTGGACATACAAAAAAAGGAGTGCCAGTCACACTGCTCCCTTGTCCTTTGAAGGTACCAGATGGAGAAGGAGGAGAGATTGAAAATGTTTGGATTTGTTTTGTTGTTTTTTTTAAGTGAATAATGATTGCAAAATGGCTTCCAAGTATTTCAGGAGGTAAAGAACTTTGCTGGAAGCTAAATGATGACCAAAAGGAAACTTCAGATTAAGGAATGTTTAAGGGTAGACCGATTCCCTGTGCAAATAAATACAAACTTCATGAAGCCCAAAGGAAAGGCAACTGTGGGATTTAATCGTCGTGAGTTGTCATTCTGAGCATGGAAGGCTGGAAGGCAGAAGCACCCCAGTGGCATCTCTGCTGTCTTCAGCTCATGGATCTGGAAAATCTGATCAGAACTGGAAAATGAATGAAAATAATAATAACAAAAAGCACCGCTACAGCCATCTGACTTCGAAGTGCCATGACAACTTCATTGTGTGTTACTTGAGAGGATGTTCCATGACCTCAGTTATGAATGCACAGCACAGTGTGCCATACTGCCTGTACAGCACTGTTAGTATGATCTGCCTTGGAAAACCCAAAGACAGAAGTATTTTACTGATGTATAATGGAAACACCTTTGCGCAACTGTTCTTTGTATAGATATAAAAGCACCAATGGAATAAAACAATAGTTTTAGTAGATGAGAATAACAAAGATGAGACTGTACAGCTATGTGAAGCCTTTTGTTCTGGTAGCTGCTAATGTCATCCAACACCTCTCCATTTAACTTTAGTTTATTGTCAAAACTGATGTTTTTGCTTTTAAAAATTATTTTACTCCATGCTTTGTCCAAATTCTACTTTTAAGCTTCACACTGGGACATCTCTTGTAGCACTTAGGTGTTTTCAGTTATGTTTTATAACCTCTGGTTAGTTACTTGGGATGGAGGGATGACAGATTTCTTTCAGGAAACAAATTTTTGACAGTTCATTGTTTCAAATCCCACTGAAGACTGACAGAATAATTATAGGAACATGCCTTGACTTCTGGTTTTAGAAAGGATAGAATACTGTTAGAAGTTTTTACCTGTGTCTTGAAGTAAAGTGTTTCTACTACTATTACAAAGTTCTTACCATATATATAAAATATAACAGTTAAATACTAGGGAAAGGGAAGATATCTGCTTGAAATTTCTGTCCGCTTGTTTGCAGACAGCCACGTGCCTGAAATTATAGTTGAGATGCACTTAATAGAATCATTAAGATAATCAAGTCCAACCATTATCCTAACACTGCCAGCACTAAACCCTGTTTCCAAGTGCCACATCTACTCCAGGGATGATGATTCAACCGCTTCTCTGGGCCACCTATTCCAGTGCTTGACAACCCTTTCAGTGAAGAAATTTTTTCTTAGTATCCCAACTAAACCTCCCATGGCACAAAGTAAGGCCATTTCCTCTAGTCCTAATGCTTGTTACCTGGGAGAAGATAGTGATCTCCACCTCACTACAACCTCTTTTTAGGTAGTTGTAGAGAGCAATAAGGCAATAAGATCTCCTCTGAGAAGGGGCTGAGAAGGTCACTCTTGATACAGGTAAATGGGTATCTTTGGCCCAGGTGTCCAGGCTTGGCAGTGGTGGAGCTGCAGGAGTGCCTGAGTGAGAAGAGGCAAAATGCTGCATTGTGGAGTGCGTAAAGAAACGTGAGGAGCAACCCTGCGACCAACAAGGTGAGAGGAGGGGAAAATGTGCTCTGAGTACCAGAGGAGAGATTTCCCTGCTGCCCTTGGGCAGGACTCAAATGTAGCAGGTGCTTCCCTGCAGCCCCCGGAGGGGACTGTACCAGAGTAGGGATCCACACTGCTGTCCACAGGACCCCACACTGGAACCCACGGATATTTTGTGAAGAAACTGGAGCCCCTGTGGCAGCAGGTTTATCCTGAAGGACTGTGGCCCTTGGGAGGGATCCCATGCTGGAGGGGGGAAAAATGTAAGGAAGATAGAGCAGCAGAGAGAAGCTGATGGTGTTGACTAAGCATAGTCCTTGCTGCACTGTGCCCTCAAGGGAGGGGCAAAGAATCAGGAGGGTTGGAATTGAGCCCAGGAAGAAAGGCTTGGGGTGAGAGGGGTGTTTTCACTTTTCTCTTTGTTGCACACTTCCCAGCATTTTTAATTGGCAACAAATTCAACCAGTTTTCCCGAAGTCTCTCTTGGTTGCTGGTAAGTGATGAATGGAATGGAATATCTCAACTGGAAGAGACTTAAAAGGAACATCTAGTCCAACTTCGTGACCACTTCAGAGTGGTCAAAAGTTAAAGCATGTTGTTACAGGGTATTGCCCAAATGCCTCTTAGATGATGATAGGCCTGGGGCATCCATGACCTCTCCAGGAGGGCTGTAGGATGGAAATTTTTTGTAGACATCCTTTAGTTGTTAATGCATTTATACATAGACATATCCTGGAGACTTGATGATCTTAGCACATGTGTGGCACACTGTGTTTTGATTATGCATTCATTATGGTTTTTATTGTCCCAGACACTGGGTTGTGAGCTGTGATGCTGAAGGTACCTCAGAAGCAGAAGGCTGACCCAAGATAGCCCCAAACCTTATGGTGCAAGGGATGTGGGGCTAGCAGGTGGTGGACTGCAGTCCAAACCACTTACATCCTATCACATACATGGACTTTTGCATCAAAGTTGTCCAGGCTGTCACTTGCATGTCTAATAGTGCAAAACATTACATGATAGTGTCACGTTCCAGCTCCCCCTGATGATCTATACCAGTTCTGACAAAAATCAAATTGCCTTAACGTAGAGGTGCCTTACAGCCAGTGTGGAGCCCAGACCCTATCTGAGATGTGGAGAGCTTGCTGCTGAGTACAATCCAAAGCCATCAAGATGTAGAATGGGAATGATTGTGCTTGTCTATCCTGCCCTGTGTGCACACAGTTGGGCCCTTTTGCTGTGGGTACTGTTTGCACCTGGGCAGTAAGGAGAGAGCAGTCCAGGGGCACTGGATGTATTAAATGGCCAACTCAGATGTGAGGTGGAGTGCTTGCCCAGAGCCTCCCTTCTAGAAGTGCCAGATGCAGGAGACAGAGCTGCAGGACAGGGAGCGGGACAAAAATCAGACTGGTGGCTGTGGGTAGACCTCTATTCTCACCACAAGGGAAGTCTGCAGTCTGCAGACTGTTTATGAAATCCCTACTGCTAGTGGGTGCACGAGACAGTGAACACAGGTCGCCTGGATTCTTCTGGAGGACCATATGCAATCTGCAGGAATGCCTCCCTGGAACATATTTTACCTTTTTTTTTTTTTTAAAAAAAAAAGGGTGATAGTTTAGATGTAAGTTGACTCAGAAAACAAACAAGAGAGGAATTTAGTGATCGTCAAGGTAAGTAAGGCAAGACAGCCTCATTAAAACTGAGGAGTCCAAACCCTTTTTAATCTGCTGACTGCCTAGCCTGGAGGCATGAAGATATTGACAACTTTTGGAACTTGTGGAACAAAAATATAAGTTGTTTTCTTGAGCTAAATCTAAAGAGTCAAACTACTGCTGAAGCCTTTCTGTTGTAACGTGTGTCTTTAGTACATGGGTCATGCTAGAACAGTTTATACTAGAACTATTGTAAGAGCTTGCTCAAAAACAGACCTAACCTTTAGGTTTGCTGAGACTAGAAGGTGTAGTCCCCCTTGTTCCCTGGCTCTCTAAACGTCTATTTCTAGAAGTGCTGCAAATGCACATGAATATGCAAAGATGTATGGAAATTTAATTAGCTATAACTTCTGAGAGATCAAAAATACTTCAGATTTTCTCAACTGGAGTTTTTCTAAAATCTATTCAACCCAGTTCCCTCAACACTACAGCTTATGCAAAGGGATTGCTGTGAAGACATTTATTCCAGTAGCTATGCCATGTGAATGGCCTCAGACATCTCTGCACTCCCACCTCTTTGTCCTCACCCTGCATTAGCTCCTCTGCTGTGAAAGCTGCAGTGAGCTCTCCCATGGCCATGTGGCAAAGCAGTCACATGAAAAACAAGCAAGCAGAGATATTAAAGGGATATGAGGAACTGGTGTCACTTCAGCTATGCTGCTGAAATCAATGGGGGAAAAAGTAATCTGTGTTTAAAATGGACCTGTCTGGTTCATGTTGCCAGACAAGCAGGTCTGCTGGCAGACCTGAGCGGTGTGCAGGCATGGGAAGTGGTGATAGGGTGGGGGAGCAAGTCAGGCCAGGTGTGGGATATGGGAAAAATGTTTAAAGGCTGCATCATAGCATCATGGTTTATACCTGCTTTAGAAACATAGGGAGGAATTGTTAAGAAAATAACACATTTTTTTCTTGTCTTTCTCTAATCCTGTATACTGAATAACTCTAGGTCCCTTCCACCTAGAGATATTCTGTGATATTATGATTTCAGTCATCCAGAAGTTTCAAATAGTTTGAACTTTTTGGAGCAGATAAATGTGATCAGCAGAAACCGCATGTCATTTTGATCTAGAGGGAATTAAGAGCTTTATCTGTCAGTACTCTGCACGTAGCTTTGTGAGGGTATGTGTTGTTTTTCAATCACTTGTTGCCATTCGTACCTTCAAAATTTTTAAATAAACTTTTGTTTATGTTAGTAATTTAACTCTCCCAGTTAATTTCAGTTATATTGACTGATTTTGTTCTGTTTTCTGAGGTTAGGTTAAAAAGATGATAATGCTACTCAAGTTTTAGATACATTTTCATACTGAGGAGTTTGTTTTAAAGAACGCGTGGACAGCACCCATTTCCTGCAGCGTGAACTTCCTGGCTGTTGATCTACGTTGCTCTGTTCTTTAAAAAGAAAGAAGTGCAAGACCCATTATTTAATTTTATTTTTGCTACAAGCAAAGTCAACAATGTACCTTTAGATGTGTGAGCAGAAGGAATGCTGTCATGTGTTATTACAAAGGTAAGTGCCTGCTCAGTGAGCTACAGCTGCAAGTAGCTGTGTGGGCCACAGTGATTTTCTTCATCTGCTAAAAGTTGTTTCTTTGTACTGAACGTTATTTGGGAGAACAGAACAATGTGGGCTAGGTCTGGATCACGCTTGTGACCTGGCTTTCCAGGACCTGTTTGGCTGTCTGGTGGCAGTGAGCGAATAATTTTTCCAGTGAACAGCAGAAATTTGGCCTTTCTTGAGCATTCAGTTGTGAACAAATGATACTCAAATACAGCTGAATTTCAGACATACTAAAATATGTTTAATGTCATGCTGATCAAAATACATTTGAGTAGTTTTAAATGTTTTATAGCGCTTCCAGAGTCATGTAACAGTGGATGCTTTTCATTCAGTATTTTATTTGACTTAAAATAGTGCTTTATAGTTGCTTTTATGCCCAGATATAGGGAAGAAAAATGCATAGTTAAAATAAAAACAGCAAGCAATAAATGTTTTTATGAAATGAGGTTGAAAAAACACGATTCCTCTTAAGAGCATGTTTTGCAAAGGCAAAGGCTGCAATGCCCTGAGAAAATGCAGTCATGGCATCACAGTATGAAAGCCTGGACAGGAGTGTGAGTTTATCTGATTGACCCAGAGTAAAATGAACTGTGTTTGCATCGTTCTTGATAACCTGTTCTGGTGCTCTGAAAGGTGTGAGTGGTGACTGCAAAGGGAATGAATTGATTTCCACAATGGTCAGCACCTTGGTGAAAAGCAGGAACATGGCACTGCATCTT